AGTGTGAACCAGTGCTAGGGTTGACCCGAACTACATATTGCATCGGATTAGTTGTGCCAATGGGAGGTGTCAATACGCTGTTGCACTCAAGCATACGATAATGGAAGCTTGACCCAACAAGCCCATGTGGGTGTGTGGTTACAGTACCTTGCCTGCTGGCCATGTGCACAGCAAATGGCTTTTACTTCCATTATGTGAATGAAGATTTCATGATTTAAAAGTGTTCCATTCCATATGTGTGAGGTACCATGTGTGTGATCTACTAGGTGGGAAATCATGATGTGTAACAGCACCCCAAGGGTCTCATAGCATAATGCATTGCATGCTGCTGACTGTCTCATGATACGATGGTTGCATGCTGTGTAGTGTACCAAGCCCTTATGCCAACCATACAAAGCATGGTCAACAGGAGCGATTGGTTGGAGATTACAGTTAAAGAAATAGCACTAGGAAGAAATAGCCTACAGACAAACTCTGTCTCGAAGCCTAGAACAAAGCATCTTCATACTCCATTGACGAACGGGCTTCAAAACTTATCTCCAGCCCATACATCCTGTAGACGCCATCAGGTACAAACAAGCGCTTGCACTCGTGAATACCCAAGTAGCGCAGCAACTTCAGCTTTGTCACTTCCTCCGGTAGGGCTTTAAGATGCTCACAGAGATTCAGACTGAGTCGCCTCAGTCTGGTCAGTCTACCGAATCCGGAAGGGAGGGAGAGGATGCCGGTGTATGAAGCATCCAGTTCCTGGAGGCATGCGAGGTGGGTGAGAGAAGCAGGCAGGTGCTGCAGGGCCTTGCAACCACGCATTTCCAACATGTGCAGCCGAGTCAGTTCACTGATGCCAGAGGGGAGAGATAGCAGGAGACTGGATGTTATGATCTCCAATGACGTCAAACACTGCAGCTCACACACGCTTGCCGGAAGCTCCCTCAAACATGAATTCTTGACTTGCAGCTTCCGCAGCTGCGGCAAACACGATCCGATGCTTTCAGGGAGCCTTGTCCGCTTCCCAGTATACGCATCATCCTTCGGAACTCCCCAAATCAGCAACGTGTGGAGGTGCGACAGGAGCGGAAAGGGTGAGGGGAGATCCTCAGCTTCATCCACCAGTTCCAGATTCAGCTGTCTCAGACGAGACGCACCCATGGCCGCTGCCAGGCTGCTTCCAGCATCCACCTTACTGAGCGTGAGAATCCTTAAATGTGGAAAATTGGGCATGTTGAAGCGCGGGATGACCTGCTGGTAACTCGGCATGGCTAGGATCTCCAGGGAGGGAGGGAGGGATGCAGGAGGTTCAGTCAGTCCCATGCAATGAATCAGTTCCAGCCGCTTCAGCCTTATGCAACCATCCAGCCTTGGGATCAGAGTAAGCCAATTGCAGTTATAGATCACTAGGATTTCCAACCCAATGAGACCTGAGAAGGAGCCTGGAAGCCTTGTGAAATTCAAGCAGGAGTTCAAGTGCAGGTGCTGCAGGTTAGTCAGCATCCCTATGCCCTCAGGAAGAGCTCCAATCTTGGAGCGATTCAGCTCAAGATGTGTCAGAGCAGACAGCTGCGTGAAGGAAGATGGGAGCAGACGCTGCACCTCACAAGTTTCTTCCAGGAGTAGGGTTTTCAGATTGCTGAGCCCTCCGATGTCATCTGGTAGCGTCAACAGCCGCGAGTGTCCAATATAAAACGTCTCAAGAGCACTGAAGCAGCAAAACTCCGCTGGTAGCTGGCGGATCCCTTGGCAATCGAGGAGAGAGAGGAATTCCAGGGATGTGAGCTGGCAGAGGGAATCAGGGAGGTATGTGAGAGGCAGAGTATTCAGCTTCAACCGTTTCAGAGCCGATAACCCGCCGAAGTTTGTTGGAAGGCAGGAAAACGCGTCGCAAGCAGCGATGTGCAAGCTCTCCAACCGTCTGAGGGAGGTGAATTCCTCTGGCAGCTCAGTTAAGCGGCTGCAAAAGTAAAGGTTCAGCTCCCGCAGACACGGCATCAGATCTCCAATGTCACTGCGGAAAGTCTCACTAGGGTTGCCCCAGCTAATTTCCAGCCGTTGGAGATCAGTTCCTGGTGAGCCTGAAGGAAACAACTCGTACAATGATTGGCCGAGGCAACTGACTTGCAGCGACAGTCGGGAGGGTCTGATGGGATATAGAAAGACTGGAGAGGTTAGGGAGATGGCGGAGGCCTAAGAATTGCTGCGTACTAAGGTCCCGTGAGGCTATGACGAGAGTGGAGAGAGAACCAAAACCGGCAAAAGCTGAAACTTCTCAAACAGAAGAGTCTGTTAATACAAGGGTACGCATGTGCGTTAGTTGGAGGAACGAAGGCGTCAGATTGACGTTATCGTTAAGGCAGAAGAGCGAAAGCTGCTCGATTTCTGTGCACCGTCTGAAGAACCGATCCAATCCGGCTTCAGTTACTGGATGCGGATTTTCAGAGACTAGGGGGTCAACGAAATCATTACAATTATCGTGAAATAGGTTTATCCTGGATCCCACGTGCAAGGTCTTGAGCTTAGGGCAAAAGGCGGCGAGGTGAGCGAGGAGAGAGTCGTCAACGGTCTCCACACTGCCGTCGTTCAAGTGGAGGTGGGTCAGATTCGGGAAACAACTGATGGCGTTGGCGAGATCTTCGCGAGAGATAACGAGATCCTTTCGGACCAAAAGGCTGCTGACGTGGCGCCGAGCGAGGCGACGCCAGTCACGGCAGACGGAAGCAATGAGGAGATTCCACGCAGTGTCTGCGTAAGCAGGAGGTGCTTGTACGGGAGAGATGCTCGTTTGATGAAAGCCTGACTGATATGCACCAATGAAATTGGACCTTGAACTCAAGCACTTACAGTAAGAGTCAATTTCAGATTCACCTAATATGGGCTGGTTGGGTTGCCAAAACATTTTCACGAGAAGGTGAGTTGGAAGAGAGTTTATGCGCGCGCTCTCCATACTGCAACCATTACTAATCAGGACTGCTGAGATGATTTAATTACGGGTTTTGTAGAAAGGCTGGAGATTCAAAGAACATAACAGAACAGAACAGATGCAGATCCAGAAGGCACTTCAACAACCAACTTGGAGGTTGGCCTTACTGCCCTTCACACCGTTGCACCATCCAGGAATCCTCTATATGCAACTTTCAACCATCTCAACACCTAGATTTATCCAGATGTGTCATGGTCATGTCAGAATCCCAACCACTAGACCATTGGGATAAAGGGGCTTGTTAAGTAGCGCGTCAGTGCGCCCATAACCCCCCAGGACAACGAGCCTGTAGCCCTTCCCTAGGATCAATTGGGGATCACCAGTGGACCTCTGACACCCCTCCGCACTGGGATGCCCGAAGTGCACACACTGGGATTCGAATCCGAAACCTTCGCTCTGATACCATGTCAGAATCCCAACCACTTGACCATTGGGATAACAGGGCTTGTTAAGTAGCGGGTCAGTGCGCTCATAACCCCCCAGGACAACGAGCCTGTAGCCCTTCCCTAGGATCAATCGGGGATCACTAGTGGACCTCTGACAGGTCAATCCTTGTCGAGCGTGCTGCTCGCTGTGTTCTCTGTTCGAAAACCCCTAGGCGTGCCTGCTTGCTGCATGTGTGTGCCTCCATCCAGTTGAGGGCTCTGCTGTTGGGGGGATTTATGACGAATTCGCGAACCACTTTATCAGCTCGTTACCATATATAACTCCAAATCCTCCCTGCCTCTCTGCTCTTGTTATTCGAGTCAAATATGTTCGAAGGTGTGTTTCACAAGTAGTGCTTGTCACTCAGGAGTTCAGTTGGGGTGTGCTTCATAGGTCGATCTGCTACTGTACTGAAATAACGTTTATCGCATCCAAAGCTCTCACAGTCTAAGCTAACCCTGCTAAAATCAATACCAATGACGATCGATCATCCTATGTGACACACCCTGATCACTTTGTTTGTAACGCCAGTGATGAACGAAATTTTCACCTTAGCAAAAAAACAAATCGTTCCTGAAAGCACGTGTAGTACCAGTGCTTCGTAATAGTCGCGACCTGATTTTGGGAATGTCGTACAACTCAAATTAGGGAGCTAGCTGAATGAGCATAGCACCACCGAGTCGCATCCATTTCTACGCCAAGCCGCCAACAATCTATTCCATTAGCCCCGCCACAAATGATTACGTTGCCTTCTTCCTGATTGCCGCGATTCAGATTCCGAGTTGATATTGTTCGCGTTGATTCCAGCTGATTATGAGCGCGGCTATGGCTAGACTGGCAGCATTGCTGCCTCTTCGTCATGAGCAGCGTACAGGACAGGAAATGTCTGAGTCTCCGCGCAAGACAATTTGTATAAACGAAAATAGAATATGAGGATTCTAAACCGCAAATTTACAGTGCAGCCGTAGGATGGTCTTACAGTGCTCGTGGTGCTTCGTCGAACGATAGTGAAGCCGCAGATTCCGCGAGATTCGAACAAAATGACGCGCCATGCTGGCGAGGTTACTAGCGACCCTGTGCAAGCACAACAAGATACTCCACAAAGGATTCGAAGGCTCGCGTGACCCAGAATCGAGGGCATGCCAGGGTATGTTAGGGGGTGGCATCTCATATGTATGTCCAGGCAGTCTCAAAGCACTGTCATAGTCTAGGGATCCCCCGAAAAAGCATCGAATATATTACGCTGGCCATTTCCAGGGTGACAATGTATAGTCCGTCTGTCCGGCATATGGGGGTCTTTGACATAGGTTTGATGCCACTTTATTGTACATATAGGGATCATGCTTATAATCGCAAAACACACGGAAACATCACAGCGCGTGCCATTATGGCACTAATATACTAAATAGTTCTGTAGTGCGAGCATTTTATAAGCTAATAAAAATACCATAGCTGCTGCCACATGGAGCGCAGCATTAACGCTGAAGTCGCTGGAAGTACTTGGGGCACGGGCTGCGCACGCGCGTGGTAGGCTGCATGTTGGGGACTGGGGAAGATCATAGATGCTTGGTGGCTCTACCCCCTACTTAGTGTCCTGCATCTAGTTCAGTTCCTGGTTCACCAGGTACGCCCACTTGTTCAGGAACCACACGTCCTTCTCTTCGAATGATGGGACGCAGTGGACAGCGCGCTTGAGCCTGTCAATGGGGACGACAACGAGCCCGCGAAACAGCCCAGGCGGGCCGAGCACCTGACAGCCCGTGCACTCATCACACCCCTGTTGGGTCAGCCTCTGCAGCACAGCCACCTCTGCCGGCTCATAGTTGCTGCTATCCAGCGGTCGCTCTGCATCCAACAGCAGGATTAGTCGTCCGTACACGGTATGTCTAGCGGAAGACAGGTACTCCACGCATGAGAAGGCCGTGTCGCCATGCAGAGATGTAGCGGCACGGGCGTAGTGGGGCCTGATGTACCCATAATCAGTGGGGAAGGCCGGCAGAGCCACGGCCGTGTGCGCCTGTTAGATACATGGTGACAAGGGCAAGCAACCAGAGGCCACATCCGTCAAGTTTAAATTTGGTTGCTTGGAAGGGGAGGGTGGGCGGGGGGGGGGGGGGGGGGGGGGGGGGGGGGGGGGGTTGTATAGGGTGAACCCGGCAAGACGGAACAGGGCACCTACCTACTGATGGGCGGGGTGCGCGTTAAGGTAAGGAGTGAAAGGTTGGGGGGATAGGAGATGCGTGGGTCACGCGCAGAAAACCATGCCTCCCTACTGCGGGGTGCACACTCTGCGGCATTGCATCCGCCAAGCCCAGTCGAGACGCACGCATGTCTGGAACGCACTTATACTAGGATGCCCAGGCTATGCTCTCCACAGTCGTATAGGGATTAGGCGCATACTCATGCCGGGAACGGCCGCAGGCCAGCGTTGCGCATCACAGTGTCGTAGAAGTACAGGAGCCCCCCCACGGCCATGTCGACCTCCTCAAAGACAGAGGCCGCGTTGCTCTCGTGGTCGGGTCGTGCAGTGAGGGACCTCCGCGCAAGCGTCAGGGGTGCCCGTTGCGATGGCCTGTGTGTGGTTGCATCAATGCAGATGGAGTAAACAAACAATCATCGTGGACAAATACCAGTAAATCTGAGCGCACTGACGTATTTGCGTGCAACTAGTATGTTGACCGGTCTCACCCGGGTCAGCGCGGTCTGGTTGTGCCTGCGGGCTGGGAGAGCAGAGGTCAGCTGCGCCATCGCAGAGGCGCGCACGTTGTAGGCGGCAATGGCCTGCAGTGGCTGGCGGTGGTTAGATGTTATGTATGGCAGCTTGCACGTGCGGATGTACGCGTTCTCGTACACGGCCGACGAGAACTCCTGCGGGAGTCCACCCCTCCTGATCGATTCGGGCACGTGTGTGAGAAGGTGGACCTTAATCAGGTTCCACCCATCCCCTTCGCGTGGGAAGACGTCCTCTACCGTCTGAATCATCCTGCGGACACAAACACCCACATGTTAGTACCAGCCGCGGGCATTCGCCACTCAAGCGCGATAGACCAGGGTTTGCTAGAAAGGCATAGTGCCAGCGTAGTGGAAACGTGTTTGTAGAAACAACAAGATAGAAATCTTGCATTGATCATTGACTGATAGAATGGTGACACAATGATGACTCAATGATAGCTCAATGATGATGAAGAAGTGACAGAGCAGGGTATATATGCATCCAGCTACCCCTCCAGAATGACCCATTCACACCAATAATGGTGTACCAATAATTGTACCCTCTACCCTCCAATAATGCTAGGCTCCAATAATTGTGGCCCCTACAATAATTGTCACAATTATTGTAGGACCTGGAAGCTTATAAAGAGGACTACACTAAAACCAAACAGCACACTGGTATACAGTATTCGTTATACTGTATTCGGATTTCCAACACTCCCCCTTGCTGTAGGTTTTAGTGAATCCGTTTTCCTTGGAGGATAGGGTGGTCGAGGTGGTGTACCACCACAAGGTAGGGGTGCGTCCAAACCAAGCTAGGGTTTGGTGTTGGCCAAGCTGCTTATCACTGTAGCACCTTTCCCTTCCCAACCTTTGAGCCTTCCAAACTCCAACCAAACCACATTCCTTCACGTTTTTCATTCCCTCCTTCCAATCTCGACATTCTAGATCGAGATCTAGATAGTAGTGACAGCTGCTCAGGAAATCGTAGTAGCTCCATGGCAAAATCTCCTTGCAACCATGGCGGAATGCGCGAATCGTCATGGCGGAATGCCCTTAGCGCACGCCGAATTTCTGAAACCGTAGTCTTTACGACACGCGATTGTCACTGCAGCTGTCTTTTTCCGCATGCCTCCTGTGCGACGACGCAAAACCGCATCGGATGCGCGCCTGCGACGACTGCGGATGACGCGAATCGGTAGCGGCTAACGCGTGGCGTGCGGCTGGCGCAGAACTACGTTAGCAGGCGCACACTTCGCGCGATAGAAGCGACGACCTGTCGTTCATCAGCAGCTGACGATCTGCTGCGCGTCTGCTGCATCATTTTCTTGTCCGCGCTTGCTGCATCTTCGTAGGCCTTTCCCCCCTTGCGTCGTGCTATGATAGCACACGGCTATCCAAGTCCTTAGCCACACTAAAGGATGATGCCAAGTCCGCTCTGACTTCACCCATGTCTCCTTGTGATGCCCCCCATACACTCCAGCCGACACACGGTAGTAGCAGGATGTGCCGAACTCCATCAGCTGGAGGGTTGCGAAAGCCGACGCGTTCCAAGTATGCCGAAAACTGCACTCCATGTATGCAGAAATGTCCACTCCAAGTATGCAGTGCACACCAAGTATGCCGAGATGTGCATACCAACTATGAAGAAACGTGCACACCAGGTATGCAGTAATGCGTATTCCCATGTATGTTCTCCATCATTCCCTCATATGGTGCCGTTCATCTGCAGCAACCAATCGCACGATACCGCTTCATCACGACGGATGACGCCGATCGGCTGCATCCTTTCTGCCTGCTCCCCCTGCCTATTGGCAACCTTTGGCGAGTAGGTCTTCCCCTTATGCTCCTTGACTCCATATCCCACTCCTGCGCCACCAGATACACTCCACACCCTACCTCCCCCTCACCCATGTGCTTGTAGTCAACCGCGTACACAGCTACAAGCACATGAGTGAGTGTGGAGTTAGGTGATGCCATGTTGTGCAGCACCGTTTGAGGTGGCCAAACAGGTGAGTACAACTCCACAATCCTTGACTTGGCGATCATCAGCAGATGGTACGCCCGTTGCTGCACATCCCAAATTGATTTCAGCATCATTGTCTTCAACCTCCTCTGATACAGTCACTCATGCTGTAGGTAAGTCATTTGCTGCAGCATCTCCACTTCCTTGGGTTGCATCAGCTTCATCAGCTCCAGGTGAGTCATGTTCTACAAGACCTGCTCCATCTCCTCCCGAATCCACCGCGGACCTTTTTCCTTCTCCCCCTGAAGTCCACATCACACTGTGGGGTGAGACTTCATCCGTAGCAACATCATGTGCCGGGTTCCGCACGATGCTTGCTTTGTGTGCCATGCGGTAGGTGACAGATGCATGTGCAGACTTGCCATTTGAGTGCATCCCAGGTGTGCGGAAATCCGTGCTCCCATGTGCGTCAATGTGCACACCAGGTGTGCGAAAAAGGGTAACCCCTTCACGATCAACCGGATTCGATGACGCGCCATCACGGGACTGACCAGGATCATGGGCGGATGTAATTGCATGCTCATACTGCACCACGAGCACTCCATCCACGTTCTTGGCAAGTCCAATCTGCACGTACTCCTCTCCATCAGTCATGGTGATCGCGGTGTCTCCACTAGCAATGGTATTGATCTGCGCTCCCTTTTTCAGCAGCTGACAATAAGAGAGCAGGTTGCTCTTCAGGCCAGGTACGTAAAGGACTTCAGTGTAGCGAACCGTTGTCCCATCAGGTGCCGTTGCTCTGATCGTTCCCGTCATCGTGCTGCCCAGCTCGCTCCCATCAGCGAGCTCCACATAAACAGGTTCGTCCAGCTCCCTTAACTCTTCAAACCAGCGCTTCTCCGAGGTCATGTGCTGGCTGCATCCACTATCCAGCATCCAAGATGACGCTTTAGCTGGTGGTAAGGTAGCTTGTGACGATCCCACTGTAGCAATGCATGTAACAGTACGTTGCTTGTCTTCCCCGGCTGCCCCTTGCTGTTTTGATGCATTGTTGTCATGCTTGGGGCTGCGACTCCTTCGTGGGAGAACGAACGACTGTCACCGGTGTGCAGTTTTGACCTTCTGGTATGCGGTTCCCACCCTGGTGGTGACCAGCCAGGGGGTGCCTTGGTACACTTGAAGAAGGGGTGGCCGACCTCCTTGCAGTACCAACACACAAGAGGTGAGCGACCCGCACTTCCTTCCTTGCCGTGCATTTTCTCCCCAACGAATTCTTCCTTGTTCCCGGTGCTGCCCTTAGCAGGTGAGCGATCTCCGCGCGCTTGTCCAGCCATGCGAGGTGGACGCCGGTCATGGTTAGCCTTCGTGATGAGGTCGTGATACCTCTGCTCCTGAATCATCATCCGCTGCAAGGTGAAGCTGTCCGTCACGTTGTGTAGCATTGCCGAGTGCCGCGTTGTGACCACGGCGCGAGATCCATAGCACGCATACTAGGACGGGAATGACCGCGATTGCGGGTTTCCTCTGGCCGCGCGCTTGTGACTAAACGGTACCCCGTTCCACACGCCATAAATCAATGCACGTCACGCCGCAAATCATACGGGCTGCACGGCGATTCTCCGTTAGCCACACCGCGATGCCGATTTCCTCACATGCCGTCGCCAATATCCAAGCCCCGCGAACCCCGTCTCCTCACTTGGAGATACACAAGGCGCATTTCCTGACTCATTACGCATGAACAACCATTCTCGACTCGATCCCTTTCCCCCACGCCAATCCTCCCTTCGTCGCACGCCAATCCCCCCTTTCAACCCGTCGTAGATCTTCACTTCCCCCTCCCGTCGCCTTCCCTTCCCCCTCCCGTCGCCTTCCCTTCCCCCTCCCGTCGCCTTCCCTTCCCCCTCCCGTCGCCTTCCCTTCCCCCTCCCGTCGCCTTCCCTTCCCCCTCCCGTCGCCTTCCCTTCCCCCTCCCGTCGCCTTCACTTCCCCCTCCCGTCGCCTTCCCTTCCCCCTCCCGTCGCCTTCACTTCCCCCTTCACTAAAATCAAGTGGCGGAAAACCTCTCATGAAGTGTGTTTGTTGTGTTTTTGCAGATGATTTGAAGATGTAGGGGTCGGTACTTTTTTAGAAGAAAGTATCGAACTTTTTCCAGATGGTATGTCAGATGCTTTGCAGATGATCGGAGTGTTTTTAAACAGTTTGGAAATGGTTGTGAGGAACTTCTCATTGTGTTTGGGATAACTTGTTTGAATCATGTTATGTGCTTCAATTTTAGACTTGTATAAGGTTTGCTATTTACTTTTATCTGCATATAATAATCTTGGAAAGGGTTTATGGGGTATTATAAATAAACATAATCGGAGTTTGAAAAACCCAGTTGGTAGTTTCTTTAGCACTTTCCATAAATACACCGTAAGAGGGAAGGCATGTACGTGTAAATCATAATATTAGCTTGAAAAGGTTTACGACACATTAGATGCCTACTTATTCTCTGGTTCTTAGCTACTCTACTAATCATCCTCGGTTAATGACACCTGCGCTACTACTACCCACTATCAACCCTAGGTCCGTACTCTGCTTCATCCTCCCTGCTGTGCTACTCCCTGCTACATCCTCCCTGCTGTGCTACTCCCCGCTGCATCCTCCCTGCTGTGCTACTCCCCACTACATCCTCCCTGCTGTGCTACTCCCCGCTACATCCTCCCTGCTGTGCTACTCCCCGCTGCATCCTCCCTGCTGTGCTACTCCCCGCTGCATCCTCCCTGCTGTGCTATTATTTCTTAACCCCGCCCCCTTGATGTCAATCCTTGCTTCCCCCTCATGTTGTTACTACTGTGCTCCCCTCCTTGCTGTTACTCCTGCGCACCTCTCCTTGCTGATACTCCTCTCCTCCCTTCCCGGCCGTGGTTCCTCTCCTCCCTTCCCTGCTGTGGTTCCCCTGCTCCCCTCCCTGCTGTGACTCCTCTCCTCCCTTCCCTGCTGTGGTTCCCCTGCTCCCCTCCCTGCTGTGGTTCCTCTCCTCCCTTCCCTGCTGTGGTTCCCCTGCTCCTCTCCCTGCTGTGGTTCCTCTCCTCCCCTCCCTGCTGTGGTTCCCCTGCTCCCCTCCCTGCTGTGACTCCTCTCCTCCCTTCCCTGCTGTGGTTCACCTGCTCCCTTCCCTGCTGTGGTTCATCTCCTCCCTTCCCTGCTGTGGTTCCCCTGCTCCTCTCCCTGCTGTGGTTCCTCTCCTCCCCTCCCTGCTGTGGTTCCCCTGTCCCCACATCTGCTCTTACTCCAAGCTCGGAGCACTGCAATTCCACCATTCATCTCCTCTAGACGTGCACTGACGCCACCCTCCTTGTCGGATTGCGGGGTTGTGGTCTTGGCCTATACTCCTCGAACCCCGACTCATGGACGAACAAGCCAAAATTCCCCCACTTAAACCCCTTCATCCGTGGGTCGTAGACAGGGTTCACCTGGCTGAAATGATCCGTCACCGCCCGCTTCACCACCCTGCGGATGCTTGCCACCCACCGCGTGTTCTTTCGGTGGGAGTTTGTGAGGTTCATCGTCGACTTCTTGACCTTCGACAAGCCGTAGTCAATCTGCATTGTCAAAATAGGGGAGCATGGACAGATTCAAGCGAGATAAGTGTGAGAGGTCGGAATCATGTGGGGCAAGCACAACATCCAGTGAAGTACGCCATGGTGGTAGAGTGTGAGCATGAAAGGTGATAGAGGAGTGGGGCAGCTTCTGAAAGGAAGAGGAAACCAAAGAGTGTTCGGAAACACGGGAGGGGAAGGATACTGATGGGTACTGCATGGACGTGAGGGGATTGGTGAAAAATATTAACAACGTAAGCCCGTGAGTGAAATCGTGAACCCAGAGTGGGCGCAACTCCCCTGGGCAGGTGGATACCAAGGTTTCAAGAAGCACCTGAGAGGGAGGTGGAAACACGGGGGTTTAAGGTTTACACGGGATGGCACGGGTTTACCAAGGAGAAAAGTGTGGGATGAGAAACAAGTACAAGGACCCTCACAAGCCACTCACCACCAAGATAGTCCAGGCAATATGATACGCCTTCAAGCATATGTCGTTCCCCACGGCAAATTCACCGAAGGCGTCCATTGCTGCGTTGAAGAAGATCTCGTTGCCGAACGGGAGATCAGTAACCTCAGCATTTCCCCATGTGCTCAGTTGGGCGTCGGCACCTGCAACACAGTCGAACGAAGGTGGTTCAATGGGTGGGGTGTGAAAAGGGAAGAGGGTGGATGGGCTGGCGAATCACAGGTTTCTACAACGGTCCATGTAAAGGAAACGCCAAGCTATGGAGTACAGACATGGGGTGTTGCAAGAAACGGGTGCTAGGGCTGAGATGGTGAAACAAGGTGGAGGGGGGGAGGGTGGGGGAAAAGGTCAGGCAGGTGTTTACTCACTCGGGCCATACTCCCCCCAGAGATCCTCCTTGAGCTCAGTGTCGATGTGGATTTCCGCTGCCCGCAAGCCACTCATAGGAACCCCCAACCCCTCGAGCACAGTCCGTTTGACGTAAAACCCGCGCTCGTTCTTCCACTGCGTATACACGCGCTTGAATGCATCCCTCCGTGTTTTATCCGCCATGGCCTCCTTCAGCAATATCAATGGAACCACATAATGCTCAGAAATGACTTCATGCAAAACAAGAATCCGCTTCTCAAAGCTTGGGTAGAACGTGACAAGATGGTCCTCAGCTTCCATACACATGCGCTTCCTTGCTTCTTCCATGTACAGCTGTTTAAAATGAGAATGTAGGGTAAACCAAAGAATGGGAATGTGGGGTATTGGGAATGAGTATATGTCACTGCAGAGAATGAGACCAGAGGGTGGGATGAGAATGAATCACTGCAGAGAAGGAAACCAGAGAGTGGGAATGTGAATGAGTCACTGCAGGTAATGAGACCAGAGGGTGGGATGAGAATGAATCACTGCAGCGAAGGAAACCAGAGAGTGGGAATGTGAATGAGTCACTGCAGAGAATGAGACCAGAGGGTGGGATGAGAATGAATCACTGCAGAGAAGGAAACCAGAGAGTGGGAATGTGAATGAGTCACTGCAGAGAATGAGACCAGAGGGTGGGATGAGAATGAATCACTGCAGAGAAGGAAACCAGAGAGTGCGAATGTGAATGAGTCACTGCAGAGAATGGGACCAGAGGGTGGGAATGAGAATGAATCAGTGCATATAAGGAAACCAGAGAGTGGGAATGTGAATGAGTCACTGCAGAGAATGAGCCTTGAGGGTGGGAATGAGAATGAATCACTGCAGAGAAGGAAACCTTTGAGTGCGAATGTGAATGAGTCACTGCAGAGAATGAGACCAGAGGGTGGGATGAGAATGAATCACTGCAGAGAAGGAAACCAGAGAGTGGGAATGTGAATGAGTCACTGCAGAGAATGAGACCAGAGGGTGGGATGAGAATGAATCACTGCAGAGAAGGAAACCAGAGAGTGGGAATGTGAATGAGTCACTGCAGAGAATGAGACCAGAGAGTGGGAAAAACTAGACAACTGGAGAAAGAGAATGAAAATGCACCATTGGTCAAACAAAACCATATAATGAGCAAGCCAGCGAGTCAGGTGTGGCAATCGGTAGGAGAAATTGGTGGCACTTACCTTCAAATTAGTCGCGTTTGGCATCCCATGCCTCCTGGTGATGGGAGTGCCTTGTACAGCGCTCTCCGCCACAGCGTCCGGCGTTTCAGGCGGCTCAGGTTGTTCACTGGATATCGAGGTAAGTGGCGGGATTTGCGTCCCATTTCCCCCCCGGTCCACCGAAGGTCCACGACCGGCCTTTAGCTCGGCAATCTGCCGATTAGCTTCCTGCAATGCCTGGAAGAGTTGCTGCATGGATTCATTAGGAGAATTGCTCGAGGGAATGATGGGCACTCCGCTAGCGTCGAGCGGGGAATTGCCTCTTGCCGATGCGAACGGGGGTGGAGTTGCTGGGGCAGAGCGTCCAACTTTCCTGCCATCATTGAACCAATCTCCAACACCACCCGCCTCACCATCTTCCGCCCCCAGCCCCCCACCACAGGCCGGATCGTCACTACCACCGGCTGGATTGTGCGTGTTGTCATGCTGCTGGCCAGCGTTGTCACGCACACTCCAATCTTGAAATCTAGATGCTCTCTTTCCCAATCCTGAGGTGGAAGCAAGGGCAGCATACGGATCGTTGGTTGCTGCCCGTTTCATCCGAACGTTCTCCCGACGATTCGACGGACCAGCATCATCCGAGTTCACCATGGTCCTCATCTCATTGTAGAAGCCAAGGTCCTGTCTCACAACAGGACGCTCCTTACGACGCCGCCGGGCGTAACCCTCAGTATCTGCTCGCTTTCCTTGAGCACACTCTCTACGTCTCTGCCGTTTACGTCCACTACCAGCCTTACCACCGGTTGCATGACCACGCTTTCCGCTATAGCGGTGGTTGCGCGCTCCTCGCGCCCTCCCCCCTCTCCTACCGTCGTCATCACTCCCGGACCCAGTTTCAGCGTCATCACTCTCGTCCTCTTCCTCATCATACTTCTCCTCGCTCCCGGATGAACTCCCTGATTCCTCCTCAGAACTATCTTCTCCATCAGAAGATTCGACCTCAGCAGCGGCCTTCTTTCCAGCCTTTCTGGACCGTGCCTTCACCCTCCCTGACACCCCCCTCTGATCTTCTAGCTCAGCGCCACGGCTCTCCCTCCCACCCTCCTCATGCCCTCGAACATTGTGTGCATCGGCCGCACGAACACCTGCTGGAGTAGAGGGAGAAGACGCATCATGCTTCATATCACGCTCTCCCTCACGCTTCACCCCACGCTCCCCCACACGCTTCACATCACGCTCTCCCTCATGCTTCACATCACGCTCTCCCTCACGCTCTCCCTCTCGCTCTCCCTCACGCTTCACATCACGCTCTCCCTCACGCTCTCCCTCACGCTCTCCCTCACGCTCAGCCTCACGCTCTCCCTCCCGCCTGCCCTCACGCCTGCCTTCACGCCTGCCCTCAAGCCCTCCCTCACGCCTGCCCTCACGCTCTCCATCACGCTCATCCCCACGCTTATGCCCTTTCTCTGGCAGTTGCTCCTTGTCATCTACATCTTGCACGATTCCTGTTGCACCAGCCGCGTCTTGTCTTTCTTTCTTATTTTTCTTGGCTCCAGCGAGGGTACCTACAGCACGCATGAAGTAAGGACGATACGCTCAGTTAATAGGAGGGCAGCACCTCTCTGGATTGGGTGCGAACACATCCAAATTATTAACGAGCAACTTTAAGACATACAAACTTGAAGAAGCTGGATAAAAGCTCATTGCGTACCTTTCCTCCCCGTAGCAGGTTTGCACTGGTCCAACGGCTTCAGCTTTCGACCGTTCCTCCGCCCGCGTGAACCGCCGCGTCTAACCTTGCCATCGTAGGCCTCTTCTTCAGATTGCTCACTATCCGATGAAGATGCCCCTTCCGATTCCACCTTGGCATCGCGTGCAGGAAGTGTGTTCTTCCGACGATACCGCACAACTAGCTGGGAGGTATCGTGAGGCGTCATCTTGTCGTGCAGCTGCTGTTCCGCGTCGGTTTTCGCGTCGCCCGAGGGATGTAAAGCTCCAGCGCTACCGAGGAGCGCACTAGCATTGGCCTGTTCAGAAACGATGATGTCCGCCATCTCTCTATCAATTCCGCTAAACAAGCCCAATTAACGGTTACAAAATTTTGCTGTGCATCCCTAAGTATCAAGTTTTCCATAAATACGTGTTAGAGACGCAAGGAACAGCGGCGCGCGAGCTGGACGTGCCTGCCAGAACAACAGCGCGCAATCACACTACGTGCCCGCGAAACTCGCCAACGGCCGCGAAACGCGCCCTTGCTGGACGCGCCGTCAGATAACATCACCGCCTTCCCAGAGCAGGACGAGCCTACTACGAGAGCCAATCGCAACGCCAAAGCAGGACGTGCTTCCTACGAGAGCCACTCGGAGCGCCATAGCTGGATGAGCCTATTACGAGAACAGCGATGTGGCAGCTATTACGTGCTACCACTGCCATATTCTCACTTTGCATCGAGTGCCAGAGGGAACATCGACATTGACTAACAGGTAGTACTACTACCGTTGTTGCTTGACGTGCCTACCGTAGGGGGGTATCGTGACGAGAACCGAACGGCTTCCAGCAAGACGAACTAGGTGGTTCGAACGTGGAGCATATCGTGGTCTCGTCTCCCGGCATGAGAATCGGCATGAAGATGCTTGTTCCTGTAACGAGTTACCAGGTGGCAGCACGTTGGGTGGTGGGGGTTGGTGCAGCGCAACAGTTTAGCTGCTCTGGGGGCTGTCAATGAGCCAATGTTTCGAATCCTATATTGCAGCAGACTACTTGGGCTAGAACGCCCTAGCGCCCACAATGCCTGATCGGAATTATAAGTGCGTCAAGTAGAAAGTAATTACATGCGTGAGCACGGGAACTGAACCAAGCCTTGCCGCACACCAAAAAATAAAATCGATGTGACTGCAGCAAATTGGCAGCGCGTTGTCGGCGCACATTTGTGCATTTGGAGCCGTGATGGATGCAAGACATCGCGGTTCGAGAATACCCCGAGTGGTTGCGTTGAAACCTTGATTTCGTGGCACGGCTATTTGTAGCGGGGATGTAACATGATTGATGCGATAAGGGAATGACGAATTTGGGAAATGTTGAAAGGTTCACAAAGTTTCCCTTCAAAACAAGGTGCTCACAGGTTGCTTCAAACTAATCATCTTGCACGCGTAAACTAACAGTGTCAGTCCGGCCGCCGTATCGCACACTGGTATGCTTCTATGCATTTGCAGTCTCAGATTAGGGTGAATACTTGGCGTGACTTACAACGACTATACCAGTGTTCACACCTAGCAACCATCAATAAACATTGTGCAATTCGTGAGAGCAAGCACAATTAGGATCACATCAACCACTGGCTTGCCGCGTAGATGTTACAGCCTTGGAGATGATAGAAGCTGCATAGTGTCCACATTTCTACGCTCACGGGCCGATGCATAGCACCCTTTCTAGGGTGCTGCAGAAGGACGATTCGCGTTGAGGTGCATGTGAAAGTGAAATACTCACATGGTTGCCTGCCATGCCTCTTGGAGGTTGTTCCTGACTACTCATCAAGTTCAGCAAGACCCCAACCACTATGTTGTGTTTCTGAGTGTCCTGACTGACACCATGTAGGGTCGGCTTAGAGCTTACCACCCCATGCAAAGCAGTTACCGTACTGTCATGTCAGTTTCCATCAAGCGTCGAGCAGTACGAAGCAACAGATTGTCAGGTGCTAATGCATGTCACTAACCAACACCAAGCAGGCTTAATGGCATCAATCAGCCTGGACCACCTAGCCAAATCGTCACGATACTGGCGCCTCCACTGTCTTGGCGTCCCGGCCAAGTCACACGCATTCAATCTGTCGAACTTGGTCTCGACAAGCGTATGAATGACACGCATCACAAAAACGCCACAGTCGTTCTCGTTGTCTTGCTGACGCACCTGCATAGCGCACTCAGAGTGGATGGTGCTTGTATTATGCATAATCCCACGCCTGTCCATGCACCGCCGTCCCTCCCACTCCCTACCCATCCGCGCATCGCGCGCCTGTCCATGCTCCACCGTCCCTCCCACTCCCCATTCCCATTCGCGCATCCCACGCCTGTCCATGCATAGCCGTCTCTCCCACTCCCTACTCATCCGCGCATCCCACGCCTGTCCATGCATAGCCTACTCTCCTACCCCCTTACCCATCCGCGCATCCCACGCCTGTCCATGCACCGCCGTCTCTCCTACCCCCTTACCCATCCACGCATCCCACGCCTGTCCATGCACCGCTGTCCCTCCCACTCCCTTACCCATGCGCGCATCCCACGCCTGTCCATGCATAGCCGTCTTTCCCACTCCCTACTCATCCGCGCATCCCACGCCTGTCCATGCATAGCCGTCTTTCCCACTCCCTACTCATCCGCGCATCCCACGCCTGTCCATGCATAGCCTACTCTCCTACCCCCTTACCCATCCGCGCATTTCACGCCTGTCCATGCACCGCCGTCCCTCCCACTCCCTTACCCATCCGCGCATCGCGCGCCTGTCCATGCTCCACCGTCCCTCTCACTCCCCATTCCCATTCGCGCATCCCACGCATGTCCATGCACAACCGGGTATCCCGTGCACGTACCTCGATGACGTGTAACTGGATCGCGTCAGCCCACGATTTTGCTTCTGTCTCCGTGACCCATGCGTAGCGCTTCATGACGTTTGTCATCAAACATCTGCGCATTGGGACGTACATGTAGTTAGGATCGATCCGCAATACACAAGTTTCATAAGCATCACGAATAGCTCACCTTTTTAATGGACCATCGATGTCGACGTGACTTGCATATGAGTCCGCATGCCACAATACACACTTGATCGGGATCAGAGATCCTGGAGCATGGTTGATTTCGATGACTCCAAGGCTCCAGTGCGCACTGCATTTTGGAGTCATTCAAAGATCATTAGATTGCAGCAACCTTGAACGTATGAATCCTTCAAACAATTGCCCGAGCACATACTCCTTGTTAATCGGAACAAGCACGTGTTTAAACCGTAAGATGTCGAGGCCATATGCCAGCCTAGTGATTCTCTTAGGGCGCGTAACCATTTTGCATTTTACGTTTTCGACGGACAGTCCGCTTAGAACGAAGCGGACGGTTCTATTCTCGAGAACGGGACCGTCCGAATCAAAATTTTGCAACTTCGGACTGTCCAAAGGCTAATGTGACACTTTTTTGGGGTTGTTGATTTTTGCGACTACTGTAGCCTCGTTAGAGGCCTTGTATCTCCGTAACTTACCTCGCGACATTTTCGGTATTAGCTTCGTTGGCGAATCGGTATGATTCACTGTACATTAAAATTCACCCACCAATACCTAGCCAGAAATGGTGGACCGTCCGTTTGGGTTTCGGACAGTCCACGGTTCACAAAGCGGAGTGTTGGAAATGTGAAAAAGTGTCACGACAGTCCGTTAGGTTGGCGACGTCGCCAACACCTCCGCGAAGACCTAAACGATAATCAGCGAATCCAGTTACATTTCGCCACGACGGACCGTCCGAAGTTCGAACCGTCGGGTGCAAAATGGTTACGCGCCCTTAGACCCCGGCCGCGCGACGAGTGTCCAGAAATACGGCGATGTGCAAAGCCACTCAGCATTTTCGAGTCCGTTCTCATAGTGTAACATCCTGCGGGAACGCCATGGAAATGTGGAAACTCGCGGTAGCGCGTGAGTAAATTTGATCAAGGTGCCGCCATGTCTATTACCTTTGCGTTTTAAGCTACTCACGATGATAGCCACTCGATAACCGTGCCACTGATCCACTGCTCGTTTCTCAACGTGCAGTAATCTGAGGGCTTGATTTCAAGCCACCCCCCCCCAAACGGGGATGGCATGCTCATGTGCTGGAAACGACATCGCGATAACTTGGGTATGCCCTTCTCCTCCATACCTTGAGATAGTAAACTCACAGTTTGAGCCGGATCTTGCCTTAGGTAAGGGTCGAAATTCCGTTGCCCAGGCAGCTCAACGCAAAGTCGAAGCAGGTACTGTAGTTCCTGAAGTAGGACCCACACGCCCTTGCTTTTCGTTGGTCAACTTTGTGCCAAAATCCCTGCTCCCATACGTCGTCAGCGAATAGCGTGCTCGTGATATCCTGTCAACATGGTGAACAGTGTGGAGAAGTCTGACAGGATTCTCTGCTCCAATGACATTCGAGCGGCTTGTGTATTTGTGACACAATTGGCGTGTATGCGAAATCGATGTCAGGTCCATGTCGCAAGTGGAAATGTTCCCAGCTCGGTACAAAACTTCGTCAGGTTGCTGCGACAAGAGAGCTGTTTTTGTACGCGACAACAGTTACAAGATGCGGAGTATGAGAGTCGCATGGCCCACTCGCCCAACTGCGCGTGGTCGCGCACCAACAAACTGGGTGACCTAAATTCGAGCAGAACGTCACAAACCCTAACCAATTGCATACCAACTACCGACACCCGATAACCAATCGCCAATCAGGGTCAATGGAAACAGATGTTCAGACTCAGATCGCCAATTCGTATTCGCGCCCAACCCTTCCCTCGTAAACTATCGTCCATTCGACAGGCGCTATCTCATTCTTGTGCAGTGTTGGCATTCACATATCAAACTGGTGTGCCAAACACCCTTTCAGTCTTACGGACAGATTTGCTCGATGGAGGCTCAGGCTTGTGAGTTCTGCAATAAGCGCGTGTACTGCTATCAATACGTAAGTAGCCATCAAGCTAACCATGACGGCTGTAAGCGGGCCCAAAAACGCAAGACTGAAGAGGATGCTAAACGTAAGAAGCTAGACCGTGGCGTGGAGAAGCAGTATACCTTTGTTCCGTTAGCAACAGCCACCCTTCCCGCGCCAGCGCATTCAATTCCCATAGCGGCACTTCCGAACGCAGTAGAGCAGCACCCGTAGCCGGCAGAGCGAGTTCCTGATGCGGTTCGTACGTGCAGCACCACACTCGTGGTGGAAGAAGCTCCTACAGAGGAAATTCTTGATGTTAAGGCGGAAATATGCATTTTGGCACGATCTCACGGTCTTACCAATGGGGCGATAAACGACACAATACAGTTAGTTAGACACCCAAAATTAGATCCAAAGCAGCTGGACGATTGGAACAGCTACAGGGACCTGGAGAAGTACGAGAACAGCTTTGACCTTGGAGCGGAGAATGAATGGATCGTCGAGGAGATCGAAGTGGATCACGAGGTTGGGTTTCTCACCTTCAAGCGCCGAAACGCGATAACTGTGAGTGTATCCATGCGTGCGGGGTCACGTTTGTCACAGTGGAATGTGTTTTGTGAGACCGACTAAACCATCAGTCCAAATGGAACCATCAATCCTAGGCTTCTGTTTTCCATCATTGTTGCCATCCTTATCACCATCAGCTCCTTCAGTCTATGTTCAAGAAGATGTCGGCTGTCAAGGGATTCATCATCATGCCTCAAGAGTGGAAGGTTGATGGGGTTCGCCGCTACAGTACCCCTGCAAACACGGATTGGATGCTCGAGGCTTGGGTAAGTTCCATGCCATCTCATGTCGCGTTGGACACGAGCATTGAAACCTAGGATCCAATACGTCTTTCCTTCCCTTTATCATCACTGTGGCAGGAAAGGGTGCGGAAGTTTGGCATAGTTATAGCTCTCATTTTGTTCTCGGACCAGACCAATCTATCGTACAACGGGCGCCAATCTGCCCACCCATTTCTGTTGTCCTTTGGGAACATTCCTGAATGGGCTAGGTGGCTTGAAGGAGGCACTGAGCTTCTCGGGCTCCTGCCTAACATCCCAGCTGACCTCTCGCCAGAAGAGAAGGTTCGAGTGTTCCAGGACGCTGCAGAGATCATGATTCGAGATTTAAAGGCGGCTTCACATCTTTCAGGGTGAGACACTGCTACTCTCGCCCAAAGGCGCGCATCCCTTGTACTCTCCAGAATCCACCACACTAATCTACTTATTTTCATTGCCTGTCTAATACACACTCCCCTCCCTTTTTGACCCCCCTTCTCCTCTATTCTTCTTTCGCATGCGTGCCACGACGCCGGATTCAGTCGAAAGTACTCTGCTCCCAGCCACCATGCTTCACCTAATACCATTCAGGTTCCTCCCGTACCACCGTCTCCTGCCGTTGAAACCATCCCTGCTTGCTGTCCCCCTCCTCCTAACCGTCCTTCATCTGCTTGCTTACAGCAACCCATGCTCACACCATCACTGACATATCTAACATGGTCTCCCATCCTCGCCATACCCCCCCCTGCTTTACCCCACATCCTGGCGGCTGTGCAGGGGCGGTGTGATGGTGGAAGACAGTGCCGGCGTGCAGTATAGAGCATTCACGCTCCTTTATTCATGGGTGGCCGATCACCCGGAGTCTTCTAAGATCACCTGTACGATGGCATGCAACTCACACCATCCGTGCTCGTTGTGCTTGGCTGAAAAGGAGGGCCTGGATGAGATGAACTTTGAGTTGACTCAACAGCCAACTGATAAGAAGCGCCTGGATGAGCAGGACGAGACCATTGTCCCCAGAAATGTCGAGGGTCGGAAGGAATCTGCGGAAACCAAAAAGAAGCAGGAAGACACCATTGTCCTTAGAACTGTCAAGGGTCAGAAGGATTTTCACAAGGAGATGAAAGCCGCGAAGACCAAAAAGGAGCTGAAGGCGGTGAAGAAGAAGTCCTCTACACACTTTGTGAAGGTGCGCCTTGCCCAGCTTGCTCCGCGTGCATCCTTGTGGTTCTCATATGGTTTCCCTCCGTATCCACCATATACTGCTGTGGCTAGTGTGCCCGAAAACCTACTCCGATCTGCATCTTGCTGTTCGTATTTATTATCCTGACCCGCCATAGTGAGTTTGTGTCCTTGACCCCCGACGCAGAGCCTTTTGTGGGACTGGGAATTCGCAAAAACTCTCTGGGGCAACACGTACCTTGCTGTGCCCCCGGACATCATGCACATCTGAGAGCAAGGCATATGGCTGCATGCCATGAAGTGCCTGGTGAAGAAGCTGACCCCGAAGGAACGGAAGATTCTTCTGGAGTGAGTTGTTCCGCGCCCTGCTTCATCTGCTACTCCCCTCCGTGCTTGCTTTCCGTGCTCTGACGAACTGTTACTCACGCCTAGGCGATACAAGATTTTGAAGGAGGCCACACCAGCTTCCGTGCTACGTCTTCCTTCGGCGTGGGCCTACTTCACATCCACTGCCTGTTTCAGCTGCAGAGCATCGGGCGATGATGCAGGTCCTGCCCCTCAACATCAACCTCCCAGGACGAGAAGATATCCTCACGGCCATTGTCAAGATGGTCGAGTGGTACAAGGCGTTCATCCGCGCTGAGTACCACACCGACGACTCTCTGGAACGGATGAAATACGCCACCATCAAGTAATTACTCCGTCTGTTATGTGGTTTCCCAGGCCCTTCATTGCCACGTACGCACATTTTCATTGTCGCGCCCGTACCCTAAATGCTCCTCCCACCCTCCTTCATAGGCTTGACTTCATAGGCTTCTGTGTTTCCCGTTTGTACAATACCAAGCTTGTTGCTCAGTTCCCTACCAGCTTCACCTTCGTACTCGCCTGTTTCTCCCTTTCGTGCGATGATTTCCCTCCCCAGGCTCCATCGTACTCCGTGACCTTTGGCTGCCCTCCTTCCATCGTGGTTTTGCCTGACCCATCTTCTCCCTCTGCACTGCATCGCTGTTCCTCCATAACCCACCTCCCTGCTCCCTCCTTCCGTGTTTCTGTTTTCGCTGTCTGCTTCCTCACTCCCCCTCCCGCATCCCGTTTCTCCCTTCCCGGCCTGCATTCCCCCTCTTAACTGCATGCGTTGTATCTAAATTTTCTCCAGGATGGTGAAGGCTCTTCGTGTCGCTTTCCCTAAGCAGAAGTCAAAGTGGAAAATTGTTAAGATTCATCTTCTCGTTCACCTCCCATCAACCATCCGTATGAGGGGGATCCCTGCCGAGTACTCGTCGAACTGCTACGAGCACTCCCACAAGACCACTGTGAAGCGTCCTTCACGTGGCACGAACTGGAAGAATGTTGAAGATCGAATCGTCCGGAAACACCTGGAGCATGCGGTAGTTAGGCAACTCGCGCGGGAGGCCGGAGGGGACGGCACGTACGAGACCTCGATGAAAGAGGTGAGTTTTACGAACCTGCTCTGTTCCCCTGCACCCCGTCGTCTGCTAAGTTTCCCTATTTTAATCCCATGCTGTGATCTCCTAAAGTGATGCCATGCTCTGTTCTCTTGCTCGGTTCCCCTCCTCTGTTCCGCTGCTCTGTTTCCCTGCTCGGTTCTCTTGCTCTCTCCCCCTGCTCTGTTTCCCGGCTCGGTACTCTTGTTCTCTCCCCCTGCTCTGTTTCCCTGCTCGGTTCTCCTTCTCTCTCCCCCTGCTCTGTTCCTCTAGTCATTTCCCCTTCTTTGTTATCTGCTCTGTTTCCCAGCTGTGTTCCCTACTGTGTCTTCCCCGCTCTGTTCCCTGCACTGTTATCCTCTGCCATGTTCCATTCTGTGTCTGCCCTTCTTTGTGCCCTGCTGTATTCCCTTCAGTTTCCCTGCTATGCTCCCTTCTGTGTCTGCCCTGCTCTGTGCCATGTTCAGTTTGCCCGAGCTCGGTTCTCATGCTCTCTCCCCTGCCCTGTTTCCCTGCTCGGTTCTCATGCTCTTTCCTGCTCTGTTTCGCTGCTCGGGTCTCATGCTCTCCCCCCCTGCTCTTTTTCCCTGCTCGGCTCTCTTGCTCTCTCACACTGCTCTGTTCCCCTCGTCATTTCCCCTTCTTTGTTATCCGCTCTGTTACCCTGCTATGTTCCATGCTGTGTCTCCCCTACTCGGTGCCCTGTTCTGTTTCCCCGCTCTGTTCCCTGCACTGTTACCCTGCCATGTTCCGTTCTGTGTCTGCCCTGCTCTGTGCCCTGCTCTGTTCCCTTCACCGTTTCCCTGATTTGTTCACTTCTGTGTCTGCCCTGCTCTGTGCCCCGCTCTGTTCCCTTCACTGTTTCCCTGATTTGTTCACTTCTGTGTCTGCCCTGCTATGTGCCACGCTCTGTTCCCTTCACTGTTTCCCTGATTTGTTCACTTCTGTGTCTGCCCTGCTATGTGCCCCGCTCTGTTCCCTTCACTGTTTCCCAGATTTGTCACTTCTGTGTCTGCCCTGCTCTGTGCCCTGCTCTGTTCCCTTCACCGTTTCCCTGATTTGTTCACTTCTGTGTCTGCCCTGCTATGTGCCCCGCTCTGTTCCCTTCACTGTTTCCCAGATTTGTCACTTCTGTGTCTGCCCTGCTCTGTGCCCTGCTCTGTTCCCTTCACCGTTTCCCTTATTTGTTCACTTCTGTGTCTGCCCTGCTCTGTGCCCCGCTCTGTTCCCTTCACTGTTTCCCTGATTTGTTCACTTCTGTGTCTGCCCTGCTATGTGCCACGCTCTGTTCCCTTCACTGTTTCCCTGATTTGTTCACTTCTGTGTCTGCCCTGCTATGTGCCCCGCTCTGTTCCCTTCACTGTTTCCCAGATTTGTCACTTCTGTGTCTGCCCTGCTCTGTGCCCCGCTCTGTTCCCTTCACTGTTTACTTGATTTGTTCACTTCTGTGTCTGCCCTGCTCTGTGTCCCGCTCTGTTCCCTTCACCGTTTCCCTGATTTGTTCACTTCTGTGTCTGCCCTGCTCTGTGCCACGTTCTGTTCGCTCGTCTCTTTGCCCGCATTTCTGTTTCCATGCTCTCTGCATGAGTTGGCAATCACATTTAGGACCAACCTAACCAAAGTAATCGATTCCTACCCCCCCATCCCCTTCTTCGTCCCCACAACCTCTCCCCCTTTCCCCCACACCCATTTCCCCTTCGTGGCCTTTCCCTTCTTCGCCTACACCTCGCATCCATCCCCTATCCCCCCCCCTCCTCCTCCCTCCAAAAGGACTCACCATACAACCCTCCCCCTCCCTATACCAACCCTCTCCTCTCCACGGTGACAGGCATGCCTGGCTGGCCGGAGGGTGCTTACTAAGACCCACAAGAAGATGGTCCTGGGGGACATCACCGACTCAGTGTTTCGGAGCTACGTCTTGACTGTTGGTGAACCCGCCATGAGTGCGATGGTTCTGCGACTCAGACGGGCAGGCATCAACACGCAAGTTTTGCAGGTGCATTCCCGGTCGTATGGATATGCCATTTTTTCTCACTGCCGCCGAATCCACCCACTCCAGCCCCCCTTCCCCCTCTCCTGCATGCTTTCCACTCACTCCAGCCCCGCTTCCCCCTCTCCTGCATGCTTTCCACCCACTCCAGCCCCCCTTCCCCCTCTCCTGCATGCTTTCCACTCACTCCAGCCCCGCTTCCCCCTCTCCTGCATGCTTTCCACTCACTCCAGCCCCGCTTCCCCCTCTCCTGCATGCTTTCCACCCACTCCAGCCCCCCTTCCCCCTCTCTTGCATGCTTTCCACCCACTCCAGCCCCCCTTCCCCCTCTCCAAAATGCTTTCCACCCACTCCAGCCCCCCTTCCCCCTCTCCAAAATGCTTTTCCACCCACTCTAGCCCCCCTTCCCCCTCTCCTGCATGCTTTCCACTCACTCCAGCCCCGCTTCCCCCTCTCCTGCATGCTTTCCACCCACTCCAGCCCCGCTTCCCCCTCTCCTGCATGCTTTCCACTCACTCCAGCCCCCCTTCCCCCTCTCCAAAATGCTTTCCACCCACTCCAGCCCCCCTTCCCCCTCTCCAAAATGCTTTTCCACCCACTCTAGCCCCCCTTCCCCCTCTCCTGCATGCTTTCCACTCACTCCAGCCCCCCTTCCCCCTCTCCTGCATGCTTTCCACTCACTCCAGCCCCGCTTCCCCCTCTCCTGCATGCTTTCCACTCACTCCAGCCCCCCTTCCCCCTCTCCTGCATGCTTTCCACCCACTCCAGCTCCCCTTCCCCCTCTCCAAAATGCTTTCCACCCACTCCAGCCCCCCTTCCCCCTCTCCAAAATGCTTTTCCACCCACTCCAGCCCCCCTTCCCCCTCTCCTGCATGCTTTCCACCCACTCCAGCCCCCCTTCCCCCTCTCCGAAATGCTTTCCACCCACTCCAGCCCCCCTTCCCCCTCTCCAAAATGCTTTTCCACCCACTCCAGCCCCCTTTCCCCCTCTCCTGCATGCTTTCCACCCACTCCAGCCCCCCTTCCCCCTCTCCAAAATGCTTTCCACCCACTCCAGCCCCCCTTCCTCCTCTCCAAAATGCTTTTCCACCCACTCCAGCCCTTGGCCAATTTCCCCCTTTCGCTATGCTCTCCACCGCCTCTTTCGCTGCTTTCACATTTTCTTGGTTCATGCTCGTGGTTTCAGGTGCACACGGCACTTGCGATTCCGCCCCACGACAAGATGGAATGGACGTCAAGGGGGCAGTTTGTCAAGGCTAGCCCGGGCGAGAAGAACTTCTCATCTGTTGCAATCAACCCTGCAGGGAAGGGGTCCCCCTGGTACGGCCGTTGTCTTGTCCTGTTTCACTACAACAAAGATGGGGAGCTGAGGCGCGGAGCATACGTGGAGTATTACACCGAGGACAAGCGACTATGCCCGTCAACGGGATGCAAGCGCCTTCTACCCACAGAGGGCGAGGATGATTTTGCAGTGATTGATGTCGACTGCATTCTCAGTCTCGTACACATTGTTCCCTCATGCGAGGACGATGAAGTGAGCCTTCTTAATAGATTCGTTTGGTGAGGTCTAGCGAACGTAGAGAACTTTGACGCATTGTGACTTTTGTAAACATGAAATTGTTCCCTGACTATGCTCTTTTTAGGCCTTGTTAGAATATAATAGGTGTAAAATTTCCTTCAAATGGTTAAACATGACTCTTGGAAACACTATTTTCATAGAGAAAATTACATCATCATATTCAAAGAGACATAAGTGCAAATGTCATGAATGTAACAAATGGTACACAAAAGCCTAAACGAGGAATTCTTGGAGAGAATCAAATTTCTCGCTATCTGCTCCCACGCGAAGAGACACGCTCGACTATCTGTTAGGCCCGGAACCCTAATCCTGTGCACAAGCAAGAAAGAGTTAGGAGCAAACATTCAGAATGTGCCTGGAAAACATTCCGCCGAAGGCAAACGTTTTTTAGAGTTTCCCTGTACGTTTTTCAAACGATTGTCAAACGTACGATAGGCCGCCGCGGATGTCAGATGATTTTCAGACACACGCATTTTTGTGATGCCCTCCCGTCGCTCTTCACTTCCCCCTCCCGTCGTTCTTCACTTCCCCCTCCCGTCGTTCTTCACTTCCCCCTCCCGTCGCTCTTCACTTCCCCCTCCCGTCGCTCTTCACTTCCCCCTCCCGTCGTTCTTCACTTCCCCCTCCCGTCGTTCTTCACTTCCCCCTCCCGTCGTTCTTCACTTCCCCCTCCCGTCGCTCTTCACTTCCCCCTTGTGTAACACCCCGCCCAATCCCGTCCCCACACTGTAATGCCAGCTCCTCACCACTCCCCACCGCATTCTACTCCCCTTCCACGCACTCACAATCCACCTCGCGGGCTGAAATCGTTACAAGCGGGAATATCACCCTCACACACCGCAGGTCTTTCCGGGTCACTCTGTCTCCCCTCTTCATGCTCTTCCCCCCTGGGAATTCACTTTGTTTCACTGCACGCTTCACCCCCTTCGATGGGGGCCCCTCCAATTACCATCTCTCCCGCTCCCATTCCCTTCAACGACGGGGACCCGCCCCATCCCCCTTCTCCCCAGCGTCCAGTCCCCCACTGCCCCCCGCCCTTTCCTCCACTCCCACACGCCCATTCCCCCACTCCCGTCGTTCTTGCCCTATCCCCCCCTCCTCCAATACTCCTCCCTCCTTCGCCCCTTTCCCACACAGTTTTCCTGCCTTTCCCCAACGCCACCCTTACCTTTCCTAACGCACCTCCCTTCCCCGCGATACCACCCTACCACCCTGAATTTCCCCTACCAACACCCTACCACTCCCCCATTCATACCCCCCCCCCCCTTCTCCCGCTCCTACCCTCTCTTTCCCCCACTCCACCTCGTCCCTCCCCGCACAGCCTCCGGCCTTTCGGTTACTTCCCCGGTCCAATCCCCCACTTCCCCTACGACTTTTACCCCACCCCCTCAGGGCCACACCGCCTTTTCAACCAGGCATGCCACGCACCTCCCAACGCGCCTCACCCTGCTAACCATGTCAACCTCCCATCCCCCCTGCTACCCCTGTCATCCTCCCATCCCCCCTGCTACCCCTGTCGTCCTCCCATCCCCCCTGCTACCCCTGTCATCCTCCCATCCCCCCTGCTAACCATGTCAACCTCCCATCCCCCCTGCTACCCCTGTCATCCTCCCATCCCCCCTGCTACCCCTATCATCCTCGGTCCGCGGCGCTGTATCGGAGACGCAGGCGGGAATGAGCAGCGATACCGATGAGGTGGGGGGGGGGGGGAATCGCAGGGAGTGGGGGCGGTTGAAGGGGCAGTGAGTGGGTGCGGCGGAATGATTGATAGTGGCCAGTTATGCGGTGAGCGTGAGGAGTGGAGCATATCGCCAGATGCGATGTGTGAGGGGAATTCACGCTCACCTTGCCACCACCGCCTGTGCTCCCTCTCGCAACGAACCCCGCACCCATCACAGGACTTACCAGAGTTGGTACCTGCAGAATATTTCTCCTCGTCCACCTCGCCGCGAACATCTCGACCATTTTCCACAATTGGGGATGTGTGGCGTAGGGGAAGGGTACTTACTCGTATGCTTATAGAGTCGTTCTTAACAATTGTGCGCCGACGTGATGCAGGCGATGGTGCGGCAGGACCGGGGGGACCGGAAGAGGCAATGGGGACAGAGGCAGGGAATTGGGTGGTGACGGAGGGCAGGTGGGGGCGGGGCAGGGGGAGGCCACGTGTTGGGCGGGACAGCCGAGCGAGCGGCGGCTGAGGGAGAGTCGATACCGGGCAGGTATGGGAGCCAAATGTCCCCCAAGCGTGCTCTGTCTATGCTCGGCCACACACCCACGCTCTTCTGGTTCTCTTCCCACGCACGCAGCTTGCTCTTTCCTCCATTGCTCTATCGCACACCGTGCACTATCTGTCCTTTGTTCACTCACACACCTGATGCCATCCGTGTCATGCACTATCTTTCCTCATACGCTGTCCTCTCTATTATTATGTCGATCCTAAACAGCATACCTGGCTCGCCTTGTCCTCCGTTCACTCTCCACCCGTGCCATTTCTCCGACCTGCGGGGATTAGGTGCTTTGCTCAACCCGCCTTGCCCTCAGCGACGCCTTAGCCTTGGGCCTCTCAACATACATTCGCCGCCCTTCAGCACTCTCGTCCAACTATGCATATTCAACCTGGCTTGGGAAGGGTTGGAAAGTGAAGAGGTGGACGAGGAGTACGCTTCGAGAGGGTTGGGGTGGAAGGGAAGGAGTAGCTTTGCAATGGTAACAATGTTGCAACACACGCACGACCATCACGTCAGCGGTGTGCGTTTATTCGGGGTGGTTGTGTAACCGATCATAGATTGCTATTGAGCTGTATGGTGGCCGTCGAGCAAGCAAGATTATTGGAACCGATGTACCGTATACGTTTATCTGACACTCAGATGGTTGGACAAGATAGTGCAAAATGCCCAGAAGAGACCCACATCTGCCATTTAGGAAACAAGACTAACGAGGACAGTCGAGTGCACGTTAGCTCCAGGCAGTCAAGTGCATCTACTGTATGGCATTTGTACACCTGACCCCCCTAAAGGACAGTGGAAAGGGTTTGGGGGGGTAGATAAGTTGTTGGTGTCTAGTGTTTGTAAAAAGACATACAAGAGGCTATCACTACATGGGTCCAGCAGCATGTACACAACCCTCCAGTCCCTCCCTCTCATCCCACCTGTCCCTCCCTCTCATCCCTCCCAGCCTCCCCACACCTCGTCCTGGCTTATTCGATCAAATATGCCAGTGCCACCGCTGCTACCCGATCCTGCACCAGCCCTGCGTTGGCACGTTGAGAAGAGTGAGAACCCCGTTTCTGATGTCGTTTTCCTGTGGCATTATCATCCACTTGAACACGCTGCCACGCTAGTGCATGCCCACATCTGCCACACGACACAGATATATGGGATGGGGGGGGGAGGTATTATGAGTCACATTGTGTAAGCACGGTGATAGAGGGTGGAAACAAGGTAGCGCTTGGGGGGAAGTGAGGAGGCGGGTTTCGAAAACCGAAGGTTCAAGAACGGAAGCATGTATGGGGCAGCAAACACAACCTTACGTATATGGTGTGTGTTAGTGTGAGTGCGTGGGGAATAAGGGCAGAACAATGAAAAGAAGACCCGAAATAGATACAGGAATGGGTGATAAAATTGCCTCCGGTATTGGGGATGAGAAGAAGTAGGGTACCATGGGGCGATCAAGATGAGACGGATAGGGCTGACAGCGGGTGAACGGGCTGTCAGGGTGATGGATCATGGATGCATGGGCGGGAGAAGCAAGGAGAGGATAAGAAGCAAGGGCGACGGGAAAGCTCGCACTATGACATCAGCACCACCCGCGACCCGCCACTGCTGAAGGGGGTACACAAGGTAATGACACCCCCCATGCCTACGCCCTAACCCGCTCGCATGCCAGAGCCCACAGGTGTGCCACGGGGCTGTTGCATTACCCAAATCATTGACACTCTCCCCACGGTTTCCGATCGCCCTCACCTCTGCCCTTGCTCCACCGTAGATCCAGATGTGCATCACTTCGGAGTCCCCTTGTTCTCCCCGCACCTTGATCTCCCACCGTCACGCTGAGATTTGGGTGGGCCAGCCTGTGATACGAATAGTGGGGTAGAAAAAGCACGTGGTCAGAGGGTGGTGAACGATGGAAGGGGGGTTCGTACAGGAAACACATGTCAACCCCTTCTATCTTCTCTCGTACATGCCAAATGTGTGTGCTTGCCCCTCAACTTCCCCAACATCCTCGTTCACTCTAGGATTCCCTTCATATAAACGTGGTTAGATGGGGGGAACAAGGCTGGGAAAAGAGCAATAGGTGAAACTACGTGGATGACCTGGGTTGGGTTGGCAATTGGAATGACCATACCTTGCGTTTCTTCATTTGACCCAGAGATGCGCGAGATGGCTCCGTATCGACCTCGTAATCCGAGAACCTGGAGGGGCCAAAAAAAAAGAAAAGAAAATTCATGGATGGTGGCAACAAGCATTAAGGAACGAGGGATACTATAAGCACGTACAAATTATTAAACTCAAGCAGGCCACCGATGAATCAAGTCGCTCTCACCGTTGTGGCATCTTGCATGCGCGTCTCCGTGGCGCACGCAAGGAAGAATGGACTTGATCATCGCGGCATGTGCTCATCTGTAGTTCAACAAAAAGGGGGGCAACAAAGTTTCAATGAATGCCAACCTGTTAGGGGCGTCACATGATGTTAGGGACCAAATGGGGCCGTGCCACTTACATGTGAGACGACAGCGTGCACGGGACGGGCGGGGGCCACGCACGGTCCTGTGGCGCCTCCTGGACCACGAGCTGGGGGTGCTGGTCGATTCCCGGCCTGGACAAAACACTGTGGCTGGAGGCGGGGTGAAAAAACAATCCTCACTGTTTCGCAGGGGAACAGACTCGGGTGCATCTGAATCGGGTGTAACAACAAGCTGAGAAGGCTCAGGCCTCCCCCGGGAAGCCGTCCAGTCGCGCATGATATCGTCGACCCAGGTCCAGTCCATGGGGCCCAAAACACGATCTTTCTTGCCACGCCTGACCCGTGTCGCCTTTCGGAGCCGTGTTTTGTATGCCTTGACTACCCGCTCCACAGTGTTGTTCCAGTGGAGCACGGCCAACGCAATGCGAGCCTCCATGCTCCCCAAGAACCTGACGCGCTTGGGAGCATACTTGCAGATGAGGGAGTGGAATGATTCGTTCAGCCAACTCCCTGCCCCAAGCACGTAGGGTCGCATCTGTTCTGCGCTACAGTGAGTGGCCAGCCACTCTTTCACTGCCCTGTGGGTCTCAGAGTCAGGCTCGTACACGGCACTCTCAGGGCCCCAGTTGTCCTTCACGCAACGAGGAAGGACATCCCCCCTAGCACAACCGGCATGTAGACCCACCCAATGGTCAGCAGCGAGGGCGAGCTCGGCTGCCACATCCTCAGCACTCATGGGGAGACCTAGTTTTGCGAGTGTCGCATTGCGCACCATGACATGGTGGAAGTGAATGCTAAAGCGCTGCCCAACAGTCACCTCCTCGACGAGGTCATCCATGGCCAAATCATCGTTTTCCACCCCCTCCAACTCCTCCCGCCGCCTCTTCTTAGTCCCCCTCTCCTCCCATCGACGATGAGGCGACTCTGGTTCAACTGCATCCTCGTCTCCCGCTGCCGTATCTAGGGTGTCTGCACAATGAGAGGCATATGCACAAGTAAGAGAACATGTTTCAGGTGAGCGAGTATTGATCACACATGGACAAACACACAAGGCCCATCCTTTGCGTATGGCCAACATGTAGCAGGACCCCACTCAACCCATCAAACTTCACTTCAAACTTCAATGTTGCACTACATCTCAGATAGCACCCCGCCAAGACCAGCACAACATCACCATAATACCTGGAGTGGGGGCATCAGCCGTCTCTGTCACATGCTCCTCATCGGCCTCCTCGTCGGATGTATGAACCCTGCCTGACACCGAAGCCTGGATGATGAGGAACGACGCCTCCGAGCACAGACGGACACCATGGATAGGATGCGGATCATAGCCCCACATCTCGCGTACATCCTCCCATCTCAAATCCTCCATGTCTCCCCTCTCCACCCACACACCACCTCCCACTTCAACTGTCTTCCCCCCTCCTACATTAGCCTCCTCATTTGCGAGACTGCCGTCACACACCACCTCCACTGCTACATTCCCTGTTGTGGGTGTCGATAATCGTTGACCACCGACATCCACGCGCCCGCCCTCCCCACTAGGTTGAACGCGAATGTCGACCAAAGCCGGTCCGGATCCGGAATTTCTCTCGCACCGTTGCCTTTTTGAAGCGCGTCCTTCCCCAATCTCCTCCCCCACTTGTCTGTTCTCCTTCCCATCCCCCTCCGCTCTAGCTACCCCCTTCCGACGCAGCCGCAACACCTTTCTCATGGCTGGAAACTTCCAAGCCGCAGCTGTGGCTCTCATCTTTTTATATTTGAACTTGCCCAACAATTCGCACACGGCCTTCACAAGTGACTCTCTAGTGGAGCCCTGAGTTAGCCGCCCTTTATACCCATTGTCTCGCAGCCAGCCCCACAGATGTTCGGGGGTGACATGCCACACGTCCTCCATACTCTTGCATTCGGGTACGCGCAACGATGACTTCTTAGCATCAATGAAGTCCTGCACAAAGCGTCTAGTCAAATTCCGACCTTTATGCCAAACGTCCATTTGATGATTAAGGCCGTGATCAATAACAACCGCCCTGAATGACCCCCCCTCATCAGAAATGATTCCCTTGACAACGAATCCGATCTGTTTGAGCTCCTCTAACCCACGTTAGAAAGCTATTTTTTCAAGGGCCGGCGATGACCCCCCTGTAGCTTTTTTCGACACGGTGACGCAATGCAAAACCTTCCTAGTGATTCGATCCATGAACGACACAGTACACCACTGCCCCTCTCTAGCTTTGTCCCATCGGCCGTCCACACAAATCCACTCTCCGGGAATCGGCCTTTTTCCCATCTCCCCCCTCACTGCTTCCTTAGATTTGGACGCCATCCGCTTTATACTACACCACAAACCATTCTCACCGCCCATGTATCTGTAGAAACTTCTCCGTGATGGTATCCATAGCCCGAGAGTACGACTAACCTCCCACAACGCCTGATACCCCAAGCCCGCAAGCGCAAACGCACCCATGAATCTCGACGCTGCAGGCGGCATTCGCGGCCCCCGTTTTCCCTCAGTGCCATCCCCACTGCTCCGGTCTGTGGACCAAAACTCACAAGTCCCACCACACTTTGTGCATCTCCAGGCCAAGCCAAAACATGTCCACCGACGCCACCAGGATTGTAACCTCATTCGACCATTGCACCCGGCGATCACAGTGCACCCAATGCACAATGTCATGAAGAAACGCACGAGCAACAGCGGATCAAGTAGACATACCACGCTTGCCGCAAGCTCGGCAACGCTGGGCGACACTGGCCAACCAGGGGGGGGCGATGAGCCCGTCAAGGGGTGGTCCTCCACTACAGTTGCCTCTTCCCTGACGTGTGTAATTGTAACACGACATGGGGCAACACAAAGGAAGGAGAAATGTCAAGCTGATGCAACCCTGGCCACCCCTTCCATACAGCCAAGGGCAACTTCCAAGTTTCATGGCCTGCAAAGCGTTCGGGGGATGTCTTTGAGATGCTCACCAACGCAAGGAATGCCAAACAATATGTGGCAGCAACAAGAAAAGGCAGCAAGGGAGGCAATAGCACAAACATGCTGCACTAGCACCCGGGTACGCACGGCATCATGGGGCCGTAACATGGCAAGGCAGTACGGGGAAGCAGCCCGGACGATTCCAATGCCCACCTGGCATGAGGGGCAACGAACCCCGACGTGCATGCGTCCGGCACAATCTCAGGTGGGGGGAGAATGTCATCCTCGTGCTGACCCTCTGGAATGCTCTCCAATCCAATCCCAACGCTAGCAAGTCCACTCGTCGATTGCCCTTGAGCGAGGGAGCTCTGATGGACCACCTCAGGGATAGGGGTAGCGGCGCATACGACGTTGATCTCTCCTTCAGGCAGCGGCACCATGTCCTCATCGAGCTCTAGCACCACTTCTTCTAAATCGAGAGCAAGTTCCCGCTCCATTGGGGATTGTAGTACCTCGGGCAATTCCCCCGTGACATACAAAATGGGGGGTAAAAAATTTGCAATTGACATTTCATAGTCACAAATGGAGACACCAGATGGACAAAGGAGACAGGGGATGGATGAGGGGGACATAGCGAAGGGGCAGCGGAGACAGGGGATGGGCAAAGGAGACAGGGGATGGGCAAGTAGACAGAAGACGGGTAAAGGAGACAGGGGATGGGCACAAGAGACAGGGGATGGGCAAAGGAGACAGTGGATAGACAAAGGAGACAACGAATGGGCATAGGAGACGGGGGATGGGCAAAGGAGACAGGGGATGGGCAAAGGAGACAGGGGATGGGCGACGGTTCCACCTCTTCCAACCATACGCACACAATTTCATTACACACATCCTCACCCGTTTCTTTGAGATGCTTGTATTTGTCACCACGACGATGCCCTCCATGGTTAAAACCAGTGACGTTTTGCAGGACTCCTTCGCTGTTGAAAAAACACTCCGCAAACCCATTGGTGACGGGGGCAATCGCACGCGGTGTTCGGTACATGAGATCCCCAGCCCGGCCCACCACGTCCTCACCACCAAACTGCAACTCTTGGCCATGTGCACGGAGACGCTTGCGTGCAATCTCCAGTGCCTCCGGTCCGTCCGTTCCTGGATTGTTATGAGGGCAACAGCTGGTGGTGAGAATTGGTCCGAGAACCTGATACGTCCATGCACGCGCGACTCAATCCATACAGACATAACTAACATACCAGAGTTGGCCGCTATCGCCATAAGCCGTTTGGTGAGGCGCGGTGCTGCCAGCGTGTACAAATACATCAAGTCACCACAAGATGCTATCCGCTTCCCATCAAATAGAAGCGTAGCCCCACTTCGCAAGAGAGCTATTGGCTCCTGGAGATGTCTCGAAATTGTCAATTGGGGCGTTCGATGACCTAGAGCGATTTCGAATACTGCTCGACCCATCACAACTTGGGGTTCGGAGCTAGTGCTGGTACGAGACGCCATCGCACCCTGGTAGCAAATGGGCGGGTTCAAGGGTGGGAGGTGGAAAGGGGAATCAGGAGGATGAAGAATGAAAGTGAGATGGTTCTCACGAGAATGGGTGGTGAGTTTGAAGAAGGGTGAATGAAAGGGGCAGCACAAGGGAGGTTGAATGAAAGTGGGATGGCGAGGGATAAAAAACGACTAGTGAGGGAGAATGAACGGGGCAGGCCGTGCGGGTGGATAATGAACGTGGAGATCGAGGGTGTGAGAATAAGAGGGGCAGATCATGGGGGGGAGGATGAATGGGGGAGATCGATGGTGTGAGAAGGAAAGAGCAGGTCATGGGAGGGAGAATGAAGGGGGCAGGTCGTGGGAGGGAGAATGAATGGGGCAGGTCGTGGGAGGGAGAGTGAATGGGGCAGGTCGTGGGAGGGGAATGGTAGGGAGAGCCCGTGGGTGTGAGTAGGAAAGACGCAGGTCATGGGAGGTGGTATGAACGGGGGACACCGAGGATGTGAGAACGAGAGGGGTTGGTCATGGAGGGGAGGATGAAAGGGGCCCGGTCGCAGGGAGGGAGAATGTAAAGGGCCAGTCATGGGAGGGAGAATGCACGGGGGAGATCGAAGGTGTGAACATGAAAAACTGGGGGGGAGGATGATTGGGAGAGATCGAGGGTGTGAGAATGAGGGACGCATGTCATGGGAGGGTGAATGAATGGGAGAGTGGAAGGGAGGGAGGGGTTGCCGGTATGTTACAAGGAGACCACCCTGTGACGGAGGGAAGATGAAATGGGCAGGTGGGAAATGGGGCTATGCTAGATCTGGGAGGGTAATGAAGTGGAGCACGATAGGGGAAAATAAGGTGAGAAGGGAGAGTTTTGATGGGATGGATAACAGGGGAAGCTTGATGGGGGGAGCATGATAGGTGGAGCTGGACTGTTGGATGTTGATAAGGGGAGCTCTACGGGGGGAGAATGGTAGGGGCAGTTCGATGGGAAGGGGGGGGGGTGATAGGGAGTGCTTGATGGGGGGAGCATGATAGGTGGAGCTGGACTGATGGATAATGATAGGGGGAGTTCTACGGGGGAAGAATGGTAGGGGGGAGTTCGATGGGGGGGGATGATAGGCGGAGCTCGATTGGGGGAGCATGATAGGGGGAGCTGGATGGGGGGAGAATGATAGGGGCTTTGTTCGATGGGGAGAGAATTGTATCTAGAGCTCAATGGGGGGAGAATGCAAGGGGGTGCTGGATGGGGGGGGGGGTATAGGGGAGGTCGATGGGCGGAGATTGATGGGGGGAGCTCTATGGGGGCGAATGATGGGGGGAGTTCGATGGGGGGAGAACTATAGGGGGTGCTCGATGGGGGGAGAATGATAGGGGGAGTTTGAAAGAGGGGAAAGAGATAGGGGCGGGCTGGATGAGGGGAGAGAGTAAAGGGGAGGTCGATGGGGGGAGCTCTATGGGGGGAGAATGGTAGGGGCAGTTCGATTGGGGGGGGGTGGATGATAGGGAGAGCTTGATGGGGGGAGCATGATAGGGGGAACTGCCTGGGGGGAGAATGATAGGGGCTTTGTTCGATGGGGGAGAATTATATCTAGAGCTCGATGGGGGGAGACTGAATTGGAGAGCTTGATGGGGGGAGCATGATAGGTGGAGCTGGACTGATGGATAATGTTTGGGGGAACTCTACGGGGGGAGAATGGTAGGGGGGAGTTCGATGGGGGGGGGGGATGATAGGCGGAGCTCGTTTGGGGGAGCATGATAGGGGGAGCTGCCTGGGGGGAGAATGATAGGGGGAGCTCGATGGGGGGAGAGAGTAAAGGGAAGGTCGATGGGGGGTAAGGGTAAAGGGGATGACAGGGATAGCATGGGGAATGGAGGATGACAGGGGTAGCATGGGGAAGAGAGGATGACAGGGGTAGAATGGGGAAGGAGTGGGGGATTTCAGGGGTGGGAGTGTGGGATTGGACGGGATGGAGGGGGGGATTGGACGGGATGGAGGGGGGGATTGGACGGGGGGAAGTGGGGGATTGGACGGGGGAGATGAGATGAAAGGGGGAGATCCAGGGCGCGGGGATGTAACGGGGGAGTGAATGCGACGGTGCGAGTGTGGCGTGACGAACTAAGCGGCGCAATTGTGGCGTAGGAATGGGGCAGGTCATGGGAGAGGGAATGATAACCCTAAATCGAGGGTGTTAGAATGGAAGGGGCATGTCGCAGGGGGTAGAATGAATGGGGGTGCCCTTGGGCGTGAGATTGAAAGGGGCAGGTCGTCGGGGGGGGAATGAATTGGGGAGCCCGATGGT